CATGTCCAGATCATTTTTCCTGATGAACAAATTCAATTCAATACCTACAGTGACAGTATGCACAGTTTGGGTTAATGGAGGCCTTGTCTTAACAAACATTAAACTTAAACTGTCCAGCTCTGCTGCCTATGAAAGCCCAAAAATACTGACCAGTCCAACTTGTTTTTTTTCAAATTCTTTGTATTTTTTCCTCACTCTTAACTTTTGTTCCAACACTCAAAACTCCTGCTCAGTTTAAATTACACAAGCCTAAAGCTGTCACCTTTACAAGGAATAAAACCACACAGCTAGCTCTGTCATGCACTCTGACAAATATTCCCTTGCGCCTAACCCCCCAATCCCCACCAACTGTACATATCTTGGTCACCATTGTTTTCATAAAATCCTACAGGCATGCCACCCCTATTCCACTCTAGTAACAGCATCTGGGCCATCCCATATTTCTCCTACTTAACTGATTATGCTAACATATTTCTCCTACTTAATTGATTATGCTAGCTTAAGAATTATGCTACGGATAATCCTTAACTTGCTTATCTAACATCTGGGGCAGCCACTGCTGTTGGAGAGATACATGATAGAGAGAAACATGAAGGAGGCAAATGGACAACCAAAGAGTCAGCCCTACTAATCTCTCTGTGTACCCTAAAACAGGACTCTCTTATCACTTGCCTTTACAATGCCCTCTGTCCAGTTAACATAGAATCTGCACTATTTTTTCACATCATTCCTGGGCTGGAGCGATAGCATCAGAGTGTAAACTTGACCATCAGAGGTGACATCAGTTCTTTTCGGTCCTGTCATTAAACAGACAGTTAGAACCTGAGGAAGAACAGCATAATCCTTCAGAATCCAAGTCATCTGAGTTCATCTCTACCAATGTCTGGGATCGACCACTCTGGAAAAGATGACAGGGAGTTTGTACAGTTCAGGGCCCAGGATGGGGTGCAGTAGGAGGTAGACTCTGTGACCCCAATGAACTCTGACAATAAAAAGGAGGGCCAGGAGGATTGGTCCAAGATAGGACACTTGCCACAAGGGCCAGTATTGGGCATGAGTGTAATTAGGGCAGAATACTAGGGATCACTATGATAATGATTGTTGGAAATGATCACTTGGGAAAAAAATCTGGTTTTTGAAGGGAGATAAAATGAGATTCATCATAACCCTTTTGTAACAGTATTACAAACCACTGTGCCTGAAAGGACAACAGATAACAGATGGGGGTGTGGTGTGGGGGGCAAGAAAAGTGTCTGTCATAGAACTAGGTTTTGGCTGGGAGGGAAACCATGGGCCTATTTTAGACACCTTATAACAACAACTTGCTTAATAGAGCATAGAATAACTTAAATGGTGGCCTGAGCTTCCCACTGCTCTAGTTTGCCGCAAACATTTACCACAGTATCCTTTATTCCTGTCAGTCTTTGATTCCGTGTATGGAGGACACCCATTCCCCCCCCAATTTTATTTTAATACCATGGTTCATAAAATTATTCATGAAGCATTTGTTACAGGAATTCAGTATTACAACCACAGTCCCACCACAAATTTGACCTTCCCTTCACCATTGTCCCACTTTCTCAACTACTTCTCAAGCCTGTCCTGTAGCAGGCCCCCAATAATTTATTTTATGTTGCTTGTTACCACTAAATGGCTAATGGAATTAACTAATATTTCAGTGAAAATCTGTGAAGATTTTCATATTTCACCATAGCGATAATAAGTCCTTGTTTGAGGGGGTTTACTAAGCTGTTGTTGCTAGTTGAGCCTTCTATGTTAAAGTTTTTGTTAAGTGAGCTTAGTCGACTTCTATATTACATTTTCGCCCTATCTGCTGTGCTTCTGCTGCAATATTAGTATTGTAGCGTTTGAAGATGTTGTTCTAGAGAATCCAGAATATTCCACTAGTCAGTAAGTTCCCATGTCAGTGGGGGTGAAATATGGGTGTGTCTGCCAAGGCTTCCTGAAGTACAGCAGCAAGCAAGATGGTAGGACTCCCTCACTGTTTCCACATCACCAACCCAGCCTCCCCTCTGCGGTTATACTTGACTTACTATGAAGTCATTTCCTGATAGTCTTTCCACCTGATAGGGTCTTGTTTTTAAAAACCCCTCATGAAAAAGAGAAGGAAAGAAATCAAGGAGGGCAGAAGAAGATGAGAAAGGGAAAGCTGGAGCAATAGCACAGCAGGTAGGGCGTTTGCCTTGCACGCAACCAACATGGCCAATACAGGTTTGATTCCCTGCATTCCAGATGGTCCCCCGAGTACCACCAGGAGTAATTCCTGAGTGCTTGATCCAGGAGTAACCCCTGAGTATCGCTGGGTGTGACCCAAAAAGCAAAAAAAAAAAAAAAAGGAAGTAGTGGGGACGAGGACTCAGGGCTTAGGTTATACTGATGTGGAAATGTAGTATAGTTATACAACCAAAGCACGGACTCAACAACACTGAAAATATGAGTTCTAAGCTTCAGCAACCAACAAACTTTGTATTATGCATGGAAGGTGCCAGGTAGGTGGTAGGAGGGTGGAACATGGGGACACTGGAAGAGGTAAGCTGGCACTAGTAATGGGATTGGTGTTGAAATATGCTTAAAAATCAAGTCTCAATAACTCTGTAAATCCTTTACTCTTATTTTTATTTAATAAGTGATAAAAAATTCTCCAAAAATCACCAAATTTTTAAACCCCATTGGATAGAGCCCATCATTCCCCCCTCCCTTTTTCCCCCTGCTTTTTGGGCCACACCCAGCGATGCTCAAGGACTACTACTGTCTATACACTCGAATTACTGCTGGCGGTCTTTGGGGACCATATGGGATGCCAGGGATCGAACCTAGGTAGGCCATGGGCAAGGCAATTGCACAGTACCTCCTGTACTATCGCTCCGGCCCCTTATCCCGTTCTCGCTACTCCAGAAATGCCACCAAACTTTTAGGAATAGAATCTTGGAAACATCTCAAGCTTCTAAAGCCCACCCAGGTGCCAGCAATTGCTCCTACACCTTTGGAAAGCAACCCCGGAGCGTAGCCCTCACTCACCTCTGAAACTCCCACTGACCAAAAACTGCTCTTCCAGTGGGTGATGGCTGACACTCCTATAACTTTATCTGTCTTTTAATTCCTGTGGGTGAGCTGTGGGAGACTGCCCTAGGGCAGGGAGAGGAGTTCCTGTGCCCACACCTTGTGTCATTCAAATGAGGTGTTTACCCAATTACTACCTATTGTCTTCCTCAAATTTAATTACTCCATTAGCTTTCTCACAAAGGCTTTTATATCTTTTTATGTTGTTTTATTATTATAAAGTTGTTCAAATGATTTATTACACTCAATGTTCTAACATCAATCCCACTACCATTGCACTTTCACAGTACCATTATTTTGAATTTTCCACCATCGTCCAAGTCTGCCCAAAAGAACATCCTAAATATTTTATTTTGTATTGCAATAGCACAGGGGTAGGGCGTTTGCCTTGCATGCAGCCAACATGGCCGACGCGAGTTCGATTCCTCCGCCCCTCTCGGAGAGCCCGGCAAGCTACCGAGAGTATCTCGCCCACACGGCAGAGCCTGGCAAGCTCCCCATGACGTATTCGATATGCCAGACACAGTAACAACAAAGTCTCCAATGGAGACGTTACTGGGCCCACTCGAGCAAATCGATGATCAACGGGAGGGCCTTTACTTTATTATATTAGAAAACTATGATTAAAAAATTGACTGGTGGTTGAGTTGGGCATATTGTATTTGAACACCAATCCCACGAAACACTGATATCTTTCTTCCAACAACAGGAAGCACTCTAGCACTGTCCTCCCGTTGTTCATCAATTTGTTGAACAAGGGGGCACTCTCACCATTGTGGGACTTGTTGTTTCTGTTTTTGGCATAGCGAATACGTGACAGGTAGCTTTCCAGGCTTTGCCGTGCGGGTGAGATACTCATGGTAGCTTTCCGGGCTCTCCAAGAGGAATCAAACCTGGGTTGGCCACGTGCAAGGCAAATGCCCTACCTACTGTGCTATCACTCTAGCCCTCCAATAACTGCACTGTAGTACTCTTCTCCCATTCTTCATCAATTTGCTCGAGCAAGTCTAGTGACGTTTCCATGGAGATATCTGTTACTGTTTTTGGCATATTGAACATGTCACGGAAAGCTTCACACCAATGACGGTAAGACCAAATTGAAACGAATACTATGCAAATGCCAATAATTGAAACTGCAGCGAGGATCCAGTTTGTAGAAGAAACAAATACTATGCAAATGCCAATAATTAAAACTGCAGCGAGGATCCTGTTTGTAGAAGAATGCTGAGCGGGGAGAGATGGACGTGAGGTTGTGGTTGGTGGTGCTGAAATGGAGACATCAGTGGAATTCTTTGCTATGACTCCCAGTCCGGATTCTTGAGATGGATTTGAGGATGAAATTGATGAAGCTGAAATGAAGAAAACAGTGAAAGTCCTTGCTAAGACTCCAAGTCTATGCTCATGCCAATTTATTCACATTTATTGCCCCTGATAATTGACACTGCCACAATATAGTCTAACCTACTCCGTGCATCTCCTTGATATGCTAAGAAAGGAAGGGGAAGATGGAAGTTGCACCACCTTCACGGGGCTATGTTCAGCTGTCACTCTGCATTGGACAGAAGAGGAGACGACACATGCCGGTGAGTAAAGAAGTTATCTCAGGATTTGACAGTTGAAGTGGAATCGAAAGATTCCCAGAAATAGACCAGGATAGACAAGAGTGTGACTAAGAAGTAGGAACAGTAAGGTGAAATGTCAGGAAATAGAACGAAACCCCAAGTTGTTTCAGAATAAACATCTATAGTGAGTGACAAAAATATGAGAGATGAGGAAGAGATGTTAGAATTTGGGAAAGGAATGTGGGAGACCAAAACTCTGGCCATAATTCTCTAAAACACACACACACACACACACACACACACACACACACACACACACACACCCTGAGGGCGAAGGTCAATTTCATCTCAAGAGAACTACTGCTTCCTTCTTCTCTCATAGTTACCGTTTCTGTCCTGGTGCTCCACAAACGCCTTGAGCCACCTCTTACAGTCTCCCATTGACATCTTCTTTAAGAACTTGATCAGATCACTATCTTTCTCCCACTTCTCTTTCAACGATTTGGCTCTGGAATGTTCCATTTCCCATTTTTCACTTTCTGGGCGGAAGGTGAGGAATATCTGTCCGTTACGGCCAAACTCCCAGAATCCATAGATGTTTCCACTGGATATTCTCTGACATGTCAACATTACCTGCAGGCAGACAGAACCTGCGCCTAAGGAGAAGACAGACACTGGTCATTACAAATGCTTTGGTTCAGTCATCTCCTTTGAGCTACCTTTTTTGAAATTTAAATGTATCACAAATTCTCATTGCTTGTCAACATTATGGAGTTCAGAGGTTTAATTTCTACCTCTATATGTAAATCTTTACCATTCCCACCACCAGTAATCCAATGTTATCCCACTGCCAAAAGGTGCTTATTCCCCAACCCCTCCTTCTTTATTCCTTGGGTAACCAAAATAGTTTTCACTCGAATACCTTTTCAGTCTTGCCAAAAAACAAAAAAGGCAGAAAAGACCTTCCTATATGAGGATAGATACCACACATATATATATTACATATATTTATATATTGGTTTGGGGGCCATACCAAACCAATGGTGGTGGTGTTTAGGGATTATTCCTGGCTCTGTGTTCAGGGATGAATCCTACTAGGCCCGAGGGAAATTACGGGGTGATAGGGATAGGGTTTGGGTTGGTCACATACAAGGCAAGTCTTACGGTCTGTGTTATCTCTCTGGCCTAACACATACCGTATTTTATTTATTTATTTTCAAAAATCTATTTATTTTATAAAGTTCTTTATGATATTTTGTTGCTTTCAATATTACAACACCATGGAATAATCCTCCTGGTACTTGGATCAGTGGTGATGGAGAATCTACACTGCTGGAAGGATGGGTATTGATCATTGTATACCTGAAACCCAAGCACAAAAATTTGTAAGTCTACAACTGTACCTCATGGTGTTTCACTAATAAAACTTAAAAAAAAAATTACAACACCAAATTCCACCACCATTTCACCTTCCTACCACTACTATTTCTAATTTTCCCAACTACCCCTAATGCCTGCCCTTACAGCAGGCCCTAAATAATTCATTTTATATTGCTTGTTATAAATAATATGCTAGAGGGGGGCAGGGAGAGATGTCTGATTCAGAAAAGTGGGGGATGGTTGTCCCTAAGGGGGAGGGGGGATGGGCAGACCCCGGGGCGGGGCGGGGGGGGGCAAGGGGGAACTGGCGACTCCTGGGCAAGGGCAGGCAGGACAAGCCGACCCAGGGGCGCGATAGGGGAACGAAGGCAGGGATGGAGGTATGGGCCGACCATGGGGCAGGGCTGGGAGGTGGGGGGACGGGAAAAAAAAATAATATGCTAGAAGTGATAAAAAAAAATTTCCTTAGAAGTAAATACCATATTCTAAACATGTATGTGTGTGTATGTGTGTACATGGTAATATTTATATAGCGTTTAACCTTAGAATCTGCTTTCCTCTGGACATGAATTTCTCCAACTTACCCCTGTCCGCCAAATTTTCCAGTTTTATGTCAGGACAGGATTGTCTGAACAAGTTCCCTGCTTCTTTCAACATTTCAATCTGGTCTTTCCAGGTCTCTGTGGCAGACAAAATCACCCCCAGGATACTCATATTCTTGACAGTGTCACTTCCAGAGTCGTAGGAAAGAAAATTATCTGCATCCAGCTGACCCTGAACATCACACCACGGTTGCCCAGAACTGGACTCAAGTGGTATTTTGTAGGTATAACAGAGAGAATGAATATCTGTGAAGGGAAAAACTCAGGTTAGCAAGGCAAGTGCTCAACTACTGAGACATATCCCTGGTCCTCATATTATGTATTATTGTTACTTCCTTTAGTTTTGGAGCATACCCGATGACTCTCAGGGGCTAATCCTGCCTCTCTATTCAGGGGTCACCCTCAGGGGTGCTCAGGGAACCAGAAAATACTGGGGACTGAGTACGGGTTGGCTGCTACAAGGTAACTACCTTAACCTCTTTCATTCCTCAGCACCGCCTCCCCCCAACAATTACATTTTTAAAAAGTGTTACTGCTTCCAAGTACAATTTTATTTCTTCTTGTAAATGTTCCTACAGGATTTCTTACAAGGCTGATTTAGTGATTATGCATTCCTTTAACTCTTGTTAGTCTGCAAAGCTCCTTATCACTCTTTCCAGTATGCATGATAATCTAGTTTAGTAGAGCTCTTGGTTCGAGGTCCTTTCCATTCAGCCCTTCACTATATCATGACAGTCACTCTCTGATCTACTGATCTCCTTTTTTTCCTTTGCTTTCAGGGTCACACCCAGCAATGCACAGGGGTTACTACTGGTTCATGTACTCAGGAATTACCCCTGGCGCTGCTCAGGGGACCATATGGGATGCTGGGAATCGAACCCAGGTTGGCCGTGTCCAAGGCAAACGCCCGATCTGCTGTCTATTGCTCCAGCCCCTCTACAGATCTCCTCTTAGGAAAACTTGTTGTAGTCTTATTTGTGTTCCTTTCAGAGGTGTACATTTTATCATTGATTTTAGCATTCTCTCTTATCTTTGATTTTACCAGTTTGATTATACTGTGTCATGGTATGCTCATGTGGGATATGGATCTGTGCCAAATGCCATTGACATTAATAGGTCCTAAGTTTTTGGTGTTGCCTCTGCCCAGGTCCACTGGATTGCCCGGAAGAGATTATCAGGTCAGTGTTGATCCTCTGGAACTCAGTATGGACATTTCTCACAACGACGAAAGTAGATGTACCATGTAATTCAGCAATTCTAGGCTTCTATATCGATGCAAAGAGTATGGAAACACTAACAGAAGGAACACATACATGCTTGTATTCATATAGTAGCATTCACAAGGGAATATGGAATAACCCAAGTGCCAATGAAAGGTGGTTGGATAAAGAAGATGTGCTATGTACTGGAAGTGGGGTTGGAGAGATAATGACTGGACTAGAATTGACACAGGGACACGCAGGGAGGAGTGTGTACACTTTGATCTTGACAGGCTGTAGTAATTTTGTACATCAATACCATATTTTGGGCACTAATTAACTAATAAAAACAATAATAAAAATTTTAGACGTTGAAAAAGAAGATGTGGTATATATATTTATATACATGTAATGAAAACTTATTGAGCTAATGAAAAATGAAGTATGGTATTTTCTACTCCAAGATTAGACTTGGAGAGTATCAAGAAATTTAGAATGAGAAAGGCAAGTTCTGGAAGATGCAACTCATATATGTGCTTAAAGAAACAGAGCAAGGAAAAAGACAAAACCAACCCCAAACCAATCCCTCTCCAAGAACCTGGAAACTACCGAGAGTATTCTGCCTCCATGGCAGAGCCTGGAAAGCTCCCTGTGGCATATTCGATATGCCAAAAACAGCAACAATGATGGGTCTCACTCCCCTCACCTTGACAGAGCCTCCAATGAAGCACTGTTGGAAAGGATGAGTAAGGAGAGTCTTCTAAACCTCAGGACAAATGGAAACATTACTGGTGCCCACTAGAGCAAATCAATGAACAACAGGATTGACAGCGATACAGTGATACAGTGAATAAAATAGGTTGCCTGATGTCTCCCAGACCCCTTCTCTAGTTTCCAGAACTGACCCACTTCTCAGGTCTGGAACTCTGCACTGCCAGGAGAGGCCAGGTTCAAGTCAGGAGGGAACCTTTGCATTGACAAGTTCAGTGATTCCTCGGCCTCCCCAGGAGTCAGATGACCTTTCACTTGGCTACAGCAGGCAGTAGAAAGTGCCCAGATTTCTATGATCCAGAGACACACAAAAGAATCTCCGAACTGAGTAGGTCCCTGCAGAGATGCCTCTGGACTTTATTTCTCTTATTATTAAAAAAAATTTTAATAGTGAGACATCATGAGGTACAGTTGCAGACTTGCACATTTTTGTGCTTGGGTTTCAATTATACAATGATCAAATACCCATCCCTCCACCAGTGCCCATTTCCCACCACCATGAATCCCAGTATCCCTCCCACCTCCCATCCCACCATCCCACCCTGCCTCTGTGGCAGGGCATTCCCCTCTGTTCTCTCTCTCCTTTTGGGTGTTGTGGTTTGCAAAAGAAACATTGAGTGTCAATCATGTTTGGTCTATAGTCTACTTTCAAGCCTCCGGACTTTAAAGCCAGGTCGACTTCACTGGGGTGCCTCAGACAGAGAGGGGTGTCGTCCCTCCACCTACCCCCCTAAGAACCCTGGCACTGCCAACCTCCAGAACCCAATGAAAAGTGCAAGTTTGTGGGTTCAGTGATGGCAAACTCGAGGCCTCAAGGAATAGGGCATGGGCTGGTCCTTCACATGTCCCCATCTCCGTGGGACCAGGGAAGTCATGCTCACAAATTGCCTCCAGCTACTACTTAAGCTCCTGAATGACCCTGATCCAGAGACACACAAAAGAATTTTCAACTGAGCAGCTCACTCCTCTCTAAAATTCTAAAATTTTAGAATTCCAGGAGAGTGAGGCTGCAACATCTTCTGCTATTTATAACAAGCAATACAAAAGAGAGTCTGGGGGAGATTGTCTGCCATAGAGGCTAGGGGAGGGGTGGGATCGGGGGAGACTGGGGACCTTGGTGATGGGAGATGGGCATTGGTGGAGGTTTGGGTGATCGACTGTTGTATGACTGAAACTCAAACAGGAAAGCTTTATAACTCATGGGGGAAAATAATAATAATAAAAACAGTAATAAAATAAAATTAACATTCTGAATTAAAAAAAAGTAATGTGGAGTTCATGCCCAATGCAATCAGCTTAATCAATGGCTGAATAAATAGCAGTAATCCTACATTATAAAAAAAAGTAAAAACAAAAAAAACAAAAAAAGAAAATTTTAGGCTGTTTTCTTTGTCAAAAAAATAAAAGAAAAAAGAAAAAAGAAAAAAAAGGAAAATCAAAACAAACAAACAAAAAGGTCACAGGCAGAAGTGCCCCTTTGGCATGGCCTGAGCAGGCCCAGAGAACAAAGAAGCTGCACAGAGGGTGACAGGCCAACCGCAGGGATGCATGAACCCCATCCTCAGGGGCAGATATGGCTTCAAGGGGTGCCCTCAGGAACTCCTAAAAGGTGGAAACTCACTCTGTGGTAAGCAGGGGACATTTGCTCCACCCTGAAGCCACTGGCAAAACAGGATGTATTAGAGAACTTCTACTCAGGAAGACTTTTGTGGTTTCTGGTAAAAAAAAACCTTCTCACTTTCTGCCTCCCTAGGGAAGATTATCTCTTGGCTCCTCCTGGATACCTGGTGTTTGTGTTTGGGTCCAAGGGGGAGAAGTGGGGTTCCCTGTATGGTGGCAAGTGAGAAGCATGGGCAGATGCCCTGGCAGCGGAGAGTGAGGAAGGGTGGAAGATCCCTTCTGGGAGAAAGAAAGGGAGAGGGCTTGGGAGAGGAATCACAAATCACAAATCATCCTGTTATTCGTCGATTGCCTCGAGCAGGCCCCAGTAACGTCTCCTTCATCCTAGCCCTGAGATTGTAGTCAAGGCTCTTTAGGAGAATGAGACCCATCATTGTTACTGGTATTTGGCATATTTGGTACGCCACGGGGAGTTTTCCAGACTCTGCCTTGTGGGCAGGTTACATTCCATAGCCTGCAAGTTTGTCCAACGTAGGAATGAGATAATAAGATGTCATAATAAGATGTCGTGGCCTCGGGGTTCCGGGAGCTGGTTTTTATAGTCTCTGAGTCTTGGCCGCTGATGGGATTGCACTGCGCCAGGGGGCCAGTTGGTGGGTGTGACCCCCGCCTACTGGAATTTGGAGGATCAGGGTGGAGGATGCTCAGCCCAAATTCGAGTAGGCTTGGAGATCTCGGCCCACCACCATGCTGAGACCGCTCTCTGCACACATGAAGGTACTGGCAGAGGGACAAAGTCACGCGGGAGAGGAAAGAGGGAGGAAAATGGAGAGTGAGAGGGACAGGGAGGAAGAAGGGGAGAGGGAGAGGGTGAGGGAAAGGGAGGAGAGGCACACAGGGACTCTGAGAAGGAAGTAATGAAATGAAGCAGGGCCAGAGGCAGAGGCTGGAATGCCCCCAGCGAAACGAGCTTTGAGGGGAGCACGCCCCCGGTACAAGACCCTGGGGAGCCGAGCAGAAGGTGGGGCTGGCGGAGGGGAGCGTGGAAAGGACCCTCTGGACAGAACTGGGCAGAAGTTGTTCTGGGGGTGGGGGGAGACCTCCCCTCCCCCATCCCCACCGCCCACCGCGTCCCGCACTTTCCCCAGGCTTGGGCTCGGAGCTCCAACTTCCCTGAACGCGCGGGGTTGGGGGCGCTCAGTGCGCCCCTTCTCCCCTTCCCTTCTGCGATTCTTTCTCTAGCTTCATTGCAGCCCGGGTGTGGCAGGACCTGCACCCCTCCTCCGCACCCCCAACACCACCCTCCCCCCACTTCCTCTCCGCCAGTCGGGAACTGCGCCCTCCCGGGGTTCCGCGGCCCGCACTGGCCCCCACTCACCGATATCGGCCGGCGCTGCCCGCACGAGCAGAGAGACGAGGAGGAGCGTGAGCGTGGGCCCGAGCCCAGCCATCAGCTTTGGTGGCGCGAGAGACGTTTTCGACCCGAAGGCCATGCTCCGGGGCGCATCCTGGGCGGTGCAGTAGCAGTGGGTAGGCGGGGCTCCAGCTGGCCAGGCGACACCACCACATGCCCAGCGACACCAAGATGCGGGCACCGCGAAACCCCGCCCGCGGCCAAGGGTAAGGAACTTGGGTTTTGGCTGGCACAGGCCGAGCGCTCGCTGCCCGGTGAAGCCGCGAATTCCCGACCCTGGGGCACCTGTCGGCCCCGCGCGCCGTCACGGAGGAGCCCGGCCCGTTCCCACTCGCACTCAGAACCCGACTCGGAACCCGGGGACGGGACCCTCGGGGCGCAGATGGGGCGCCCGGGAGCTCTCCCCATCCCGCAGCCCTGCAGAGCCGAGGGCGGCGCCCGCCCGTGAGGACAAGGCCCAACCTGGCAGAGCAGCGCCCAGGACGCTGTCTTGACCCAGCTAGGAGGGCACCATCTCGGCCCCGTCCCGCACTGGACCCAGCACCCGAATCGCAGAGAACGGGGAGGGTTGGCAAAGTCCGGGAAGCTTTCACATTGCATCTTTCTTTTCTACCAGATTACAACTCAATCCCACCCAAGTTTAAGGATCTGAAAATGATATTTGAACAGAGATAAACTGACAGAGCCTAATAAAACAAATAACAATTTTTAAAAAAACCACTCAAATAGAAGTAAAGGAGCTCACATAGCAAGTGTTGCTGTGTAGGCAGGCAAGCAGGCAGATAGGGAAGGCCCCTTCCCAAGGCAATGGCAGTAAGTTTCCTGGGAAGTAATAGCCCTGAAGTTGTGAAAGGCAACCTTGCAGAAGACAGGAACTAAAAGACCCAGAAAAACGTGCATATTGTTTTCAAAAGGGCTGAACCTGTGGGCGTTCCCACCAAAGTTAAGGAGGGTCCCTTTCTCCCCACATCCCTGCCAACAGGGGTGGCTTTTGTTCTTTTGGATGTGTGCCAGTCTCTGTGGTGTTAGAGGGTATCTCATTGTTGTTTTGATCTGCATCTCCCTGATGATTAGTGATGAGCATTTTTTCATGTGCCTTTTGGCCATTCAGATTTCTTCATTGAGAAAGTTTCTATTCATTTCATTGCCCCATTTTTCTGATGGGATTGGATGTTTTCTCCTTGTAGAGTTCAACTAGTGCCTTGTATATCCTTGATATCAACTCCATATTAGATGGGTATTGGGTGACTATCCTTTCCCATTCTGTAGATTTGTATTTTGGTCACTGTATCTTTTGAGGTGTGGACGCTTCTTAGTTTAAGATAGTCCCATTTGTTTACCTCTGTTTCCAGTTGGTTGGTCAGTGGAGTGTCGTCTTTGAAGATACCATTAGCTTCAATGTTTTGCCTACCTTTTCTTCAATGTACCTTATGGATTCTGGTCTGATGTTGAGGTCTTTAATTCATTTTGATCTACTTTTGTACATAGTGTTAGGTAGAGTTCTGAGTCCCCCCCTTTTTTTGCATGTAGCTGTCCAGTTTTGCCACACCGTTTATTAAAGAGGTTTTCCTTGCTCCACATCACATTTCTTGTTCCCTTCTCAAAGATTAGATGATCATATACTCAAGGGTGTGTGTAAGAATATTCATCCCTGTTCTGTTGCTCTTCGGCTCTGCTACTGTTCCAATATGATGCTGTTTTAATTATTACTGCTTTGTAGTAGAGTTTGAGGTTGGGGAAGCTGATGCCTCCCATTTTCTTTTTCCCAATAATTGCTCTAGCTATGCGTGGGGGCTAGTTGTTCCATATGAATTTCAGGAGTGTTTGATCGATTTATTTATAGAATTTCATGGGTATCTTATAGGGATCGTATAATGCTTTGGGGAGTATTGCCATTTTGACAATGTTAATTCTCCCATGAGCAGGGGATGTGTATCCATTCCTCCTGTCCTCTTTTATTTCTTAAAGTAGCATTTTATAGTTCTCTTTGTACAAGTCCTTTACCTCCTTAGTTTTCTAATTCCAAGGTACTTGATTTTCTGAGACATGATTGTGAATGGGATTGCTTTTTTCATCTCACTTTCTTCTCTCTCATTATTTACATATAGGAAAGGCATGGACTTTTGGGTATTGATTTTATAGCCTGTGACTTTACTGTAAAAGTCATTGTTGTATAGTAGAGCTTTTTGGCCTTTCTCAAAAAATTATAAATTTTTTATAATTTATAATTATAAATTCCCATTTGACCCAGCAATACCACTTCTGGAAATATATCCAGGAGATGCAAAAAAATACAATACAAATGACATCTGCAATTGTATGCTTATTGCAGCACTATTTACAATAGCCAAAATCTGGACAAAACCTGAGTGCCCAAGACCAGATGATGGGTAAAAAAAACTCTGTACATCTACACAATGGAACACTATGTGGCTGTTAGAAAACAAAGTCATGAAATTTGCACCTAAGTAGATTAGCATGGACAGTATCATGCTAAGTGAAATGAGCCAGAGAGAGAGGGACAGACATAGAATGACTGCACTTATTTGTGGAATATAAAGTAAAATAATGGGAGACTAACACCCAAGGTAGTAGAGATAAGGGCCAGGAGGATTGCTCCATGAGTTGGAAGACGGCCTCATATGCTGGGAGAAAAGGCAGCTGAGATAGAGAAGGGACCACCAAGTAAATGATGCTTGGAGGGCTCGCTCAGGATGGGAGATGTGTGCTAAAAGTAGACTATGGACTGAACAGGATGGGCACTTAGTACCAGTATTGTAAACCATAACACTGAAAAGGAGAGAGAGTAAAAGGGAATGTGCCTGCCAGGGGATGTTCGGGGCAGGGGTGAGGATGGGAGGAAAGGGTACTGGGAACATTGGTGGTGGAGAATGGGCACTGGTGGAGGGTTGAGTACTTGATCATTGTATGACTGAAACAAAATCACTAAAGTTTGTGATAATGAACGTTCCTCCCCCTATCTACAGACCTCGCTCCTCAGTTCCAGGAGGAACTGACAGCAGAATGCAGCCCTCCGAAGGGGGCCAGGAAGCCAAAAAGAACTTGGAGGGCATAATCCAAGCCCAAGTTACCTGGAGTCCAGAGCGCAATGGAAGAGCTATGCTGGTCCAGGTAGGGAATTGGTCTGATCCTGCCTTCTGATGGTCAAAAGATCGGTTTTGTTGTTGTTGTTGTTGTTGTCGTTGTTTGGTTTTGAGGGAGGTGTTTAGAGCTCTGAGGGTCTGGGCATCCAGGGGCCCTAGGCTGAGCATGACTGAAAGGGGTCAGAATTGGCTGCATGCTGGGGCAGCTCCTTGGGTTAACCCTGTAGGGTCTCTGACCTCTTAGGGTCACTGTCTTTCCTCCCCATGCGACCCCCATGCTGTGGTGCCTTCCCAAACCTGCTGCGCTCTCAAGCCCCTGGCTCTGGGTCCTGCTGGAGGGATCTCCCCCACCCACTTCTCCCCACTGCACCCCTCCAACTGCACCCCAACTCTCCAAGGCTCCCTCCAGCTTCCCACTCTCAGGTCACTGCCTTCCTGCTTAGCAGATGGGAGCAAGTAGTGGGAAAGCAAAGCAGGAAGCTTAGGAGTAGTGCTTCTCTGAAAAAGGTTCTAGGGGCTTGTAGTGGGGAGCCCCCAAGCAGGATTCCCCCCAAAACGGGAGGGACTGGGAAAAAGAGGAAGCGCCCCTACAGAGGACCTAAACAGAACCCAGCATTCCTACAACTACATTGCATAAGGATATTGGCTGTGATGGATTTCATTGCATTGGCTTTTTTTTTAAATTAATTTATTTATTTATTGAATCACCGTGGGAAAGGTTACAAAGCTTTCAGGTTTAGGTCTCAGTCATGCAAATATCAAACACATTCCCCTTTACCAATACTTATTTTTTACCATGAAGAACCCCAATAAAACCCCACCCCCACCCCTCCCAGTCCCTGTGGGGCAGATGAATTCTAGTTAACACTCTATCTGCTTTGATTAGATTCATTGTTTCAATAAAAGATTCACCACTATTATTTAGAGTTTATGCCACCCCCAAATCAGACATGCTGAAAAAGCATTGTGAAGTGATTTGCTTTCTACAGCTGTGTTCAAGAATTAAATGTTGGTTTTGGATTTCTGTTATTTTACGTATTGACCCTGGAAGTATTTCTACTGAAAGTCAGATAGTTAAGAAATTGGTTTCTGTGCTCTGGAGTCGTGGCCGTGCTGGAGAGCCGCTAGTTGGGGGCAACTGGTGGCCTCGGTAGGGCGTGAAGGGCGGACCGAAAGCCCCCCTTCCCATGAGGTTTTAGTCGCCCCCAGTCCCCCGGCTCATACCTGCTGTCCACAAGGCTCCCATGCGGCCGCCATCTTTCTTTCCAGAGAGGAGAAGGCGACTGGGGCAACACCCTTTCCCCTCCGGACAGACCTGATGGCCTGGATTAACACATAGTCCGTTCACTTTTCTGCTCCAAGCTGCCGGGTTCTGCATTAAGTCCTTGTGCTTCTGGGGCCGTGGCCGTGCTGGAGAGCCGCTCGCGGGGGGCAACTGGTGACCTCGGTAGGGCGTGAAGGACAGACCGGAACGCCCCCCTTCCCATGAGGTTTTAGTCGCCCCCACTCCCCCAGCTCATACCTGCTGTCCACAAGGCTCCCATGTGGCCGTCCTCCTTCTTTCCAGAGAAGAGAGGGCGAATGGGGCAACACCCTTTCCCCTCTGGCAGACTTGATGGCCTGGATTAACGCATAGTCCGTTCACTTTTCTGCTCCAAGCTGCCGGGTTCTGCATTAAGTCCTTGTGCTTCTGGGGCTGTGGCCGTGCTGGAGAGCCGCTCGTGGGGGGCAACTGGTGACCTCGGTAGGGCGTGAAGGACGGACCAGAACGCCCCCCTTCCCATGAGGTTTTAGTTGCCCCCACTCCCCCGGCTCATACCTACTGTCCACAAGGCTCCCATGTGGCCGCCATCTTTCTTTCCAGAGGGAGGAGGGTGGAAGGGACCAACACCCTTTCCCCTCCGGGCAGACATGATGGCCTGGATTAACGCATAGTCCGTTCACTTTTCTGCTCCAAGCTGCTGGGTTATGCATT